ATATTAATTAATTGCAGTCTAATAATAAATCATTATTGCAAACATAATATACATTATATATACAACTTTTCATATTTCATAAATTTACATATAAAAACATCCTATTTCAAAAACAATGGAATATTATTTTATTAGGTAATTTTATGCCAGTTTTGGGCTAGACTATTTTAAACAAGTTATATATTTGTTGTAGTTAATCAATAAACAGAAATCAATATATACAATTTTTTGAATTTGATAATTAATAATATTTTAAAAGGTAGGTAGCGCAAATTGAAAAATTTAACAATATAAATATTAGGGACATTGATAATTTTGAAATTGTTGAAATAAATTCAATGATTAAAGGTACAACTAGCATAAATAAAATTAACACTAAAAGTGAAAACACAACTTTTGAAAATCAAGTTTTTTAAAGGTAATGGCATATTTGTATTAAATATATAATGAAAATACATTTAATTTCATTGATATAATTTAACAACATTTTAATGAGCACTTGAAATCAAAGTCTTTATAATTAAAAAATATATAATTAATATTATTATTGATCTTATTTTAGATAAATATTAAAGATAATCTTACGAAGTATACAGAAGCTAATATGACATTACAAAAATGTATTGCTAACTTATCCTTAACTCATTCAATGAGAAATACGTTTTTTTTTTTTTTTCAATCCGTAGATTGGTTGAACGATGAAATATTCTTCCATTCCTCTCTATTCATTGCGACTCTTTTTAGTTCTATATATGACTCTCTTCCTATATCCAACATGATTTGTTTCATATATGCCTGTCTAGGTCTTCATTTTCCTGGTTTTCCCTCGATTTTTCCTTCGATTATAGTCGTTATCCATGAATTGTTCCTTATGAGATGTCCTATCCACTTCTTTCTTNGTCCAAGGAATTTTTAGGGCCCTTTTCCAGCACCATGTTTCAAAAGCCTCTATTTTTCTTCGGTCATTGTTATGAGAAATACGTTAGCATTTGTTATTAAAAAGCACGAGTTAAAATATGATTTAGATGCTAAAATCACCAAAAATAGATTTATAGATTTAGCTAAAGGTATTTAATAAATATAACAAATTATATACCTATTGTATCATTCTATTTAATTACATATGCATACACATACACAATATATATATAAGCTAACAAAGGGAAGCTTTATGAGAAATATTGTAGTATAAGAAAAAAATTTAAAATATAACTTTAAATACAAAACAGTTTTCAGTTGAAAAACCACTAATATTTATTGAAAATGAGGGTAATTATTAATAATTTATGTACTTGTTGTAATTAGTTACTAATAGTTTATATATTATAACAATAAAATTACATTAATAAAGAATTCAAAAATCAAATGTCATGGTTAAAAAATAATATTGAGCCTAAACATGTTCTTTATCAATATTGGAAAAGCGTAGTTATGGGAAGACTTAGAAATACAACTAATAATCAAAAGAGAACAAAAATTTGTCCATGTTTAAATGGTGCTTTAATTCTTATCTTATAAGAATTATAAAATATTAAAAACAGATTATACATTATATAACAATATTAATGAATAAATTATAATTAATAAAAAACATTTTACGCTTTACAGATAGATTTAGATTTTATATAGATGTACCTAAAATTTGTAGTAAAATTTGTATTAAATAAATTTGATTTATTCAAAGAAAAAATAAAAATTTGCATTGACACAAATAATATTTTATAGTTAGTTGATAGTAATGTAAATAATATGTTTGAAGATCATATCAATTCAAATAAAATTGGTTAGTAAGTAATAATTATTCATTGCTACCTAACCTAGCTCTATCTACCCTAACCATTCAATAATAGCTGATTGAATCTCATTCTTATTATTTATGATTTAATTATTTGTATATATATTTTATGAATATAGACAATAAAGATTTTGCTGTTTTATACTTCATATCATATTTATTTCCACAAAACTACTATTAAAATATAGAAGTAATCAAATAAAAAATCTTGTTGAAGACCATCTAAAGTTGAACAAACATCTGAATTAGTTTATTGAAGTAAGTACCAACATATTACAGTTTTAAATTATATTGATTATTGAAATATGTTTTCATAAAAATATGAAATGAATGTGATTATAAATATTTTTATATTAATAACAAAATAACTGAGTATTAAAATAAGTTATGAAGTATTTATATAGGTAATATCAGTTTTGTAATAAAATATTTAAAATGCCACCCAAATGTTATATATAGTAAAATATAAGAGTGTTACTCAAATATTAACTCAAAGATCCCTTGTTATATATTTTTAACATTAACATTACCCAATAAGTTATGTGATCAAGATTGTTATATTGAAATAAAAAATGTTAGGCTGTTTTATTTAAAAAACTTGTACCCATCATAGTATAATGTTAAACAATTATGTACTTACATTAATGCATTCATGTTTTATTTGAAGTCAACAGTATGTATAAATGTAAAATATGTATTTATAATAACGTCACAACTAAATAAAATATGGTTGTTATACAAAAATTAGTGAATTAAAAAAAAAAGTTATGCCCCTTGGAAGAGTAGGATCCTTCTCATCTGAACAAAAATAATCTGATGTACATTATTGATAATATAAAATAATTGTAAAATAATGAGTGTATATTTAATAGAAAATTTAATGAAAATTAGAGAAATATGAGTACTAATTTCTTAAAATACTATTATATGACTTAAGAAAAATCTACATAAAATTGAAATTATTTGGGTATACTTTTAAGTTTTTAATTACAATTTTATAAAGTGTTTAATTGATCAGTAAATATTATGGAATTAGTATAATGTATAAATGTAAAAAAACAAAGTATGAAACCGAATAATTTAACAAGCTTATTTTTATATTCAATCATTTCTGTGTATAAACTTTTAAATTTTAGGGTTTAATTTATACTTTATTTAATTCTAAAAATATAATAACACTAGTATTTCATATAAATACAAGATTTACTATATCTAAGTTATCCTTTTTAGTAAATTTTAATTAAAAAAATTATTAATAAAATAATAATTAATACATTAAATTAAATTATTACTATATACTATTACTATTACTATTACTATATATATATTTTTACTAATATAAAACTGGAGCTATTATTTAACTTATATATTTATTTATATATAATAGATCTTTTCAACTTTAAATTTCATGTATAATACTTATATATCAGTAAAAAAGTATTGATTAATAATTATTCATTAGTGTTATTAAATTTATTTGGAAAATTATGTTTATACATTATAGTGCCTTATTATATTTATGTATTTATGCAATTTTATGCTGTATTTATTTACCTATCATTATTTAACTATAAATTGAGTATCAAAAACTATATATTTATAGATGTTATTTATTAGAGTCTAATAATTGGTCTAATAATTAGACCAATGATTTTATTATAATCTTATTTCTTTAAAAAAATGTTTTAATACGCCTCAATAAATATATTGTATTAATAAATAGTGATATATATACTAAATATAAGTGAGGTGAAATACTGATAAATTGATATGACATATAAATATAGAAACATTAATTATAACAAGAACTTAATAAAGTATAAATATATTATTGAAAATACATAAAACTATAGTATGAATAATTAGTTATTAGTATATGAACTATATTAATCAATATTTTTAATCTAATACAGTGATTCCGCTTAATGTGGGCACCGGTTAATATGGGCATCCGCTTAATGTGGGCAAACAGGTCTGGTCCCAATACAAATGTTTATTAACAAGGTTAAATAAGACCGCGTAATATTGGTACTTGATTCGGTTTATGTGGGCAATTTTATTTTATAATAGCGTTAGAAAATACACATATTGTATTTAAAAACGACTAAATTTAATCGGGTTTCATCGTATCTATGAGATTGTGTTTATCGAAAGTAATAAAAATCATTTATACCATTTAAACCTTGATGGGATTTTGATGTATGTAAATGTTATTAGATGCGATAAAAATAAAACGATATAGGCACGCATTTTGTAACGCGTCAATACCTAACAATACAGTTTTAGTATTTAGTCAGTTTTAACGTGAATTTCAACGTGACAATATGTCAAGAAAAAATATCTCCCTTAAGGAAAAAATTGCGATTTTGGACAAGGTGAAATCGCTACCTCCAGGCACTTCACAACGTAAAATTTCTGAACAATTATGCGTTCCGAAATCGACTGTGGTGAAACTACTCAAAGAAGAAGTCATTTTACACTAAAACTTCAATTCAATTCAAACTGGTAATCAAAAACGTAAACGGGAAGGGAAAGATCCCGAAGTTGACGAGACCTTAAGTGAATGGTTTTCATTAATAACAAGTCGCGGTGTTCGCGTGACTGGGCCATTGTTGAAATGTAAAGCCGAAGAATTATCCCAGAAAATAGGTAACAAAAAGTTTATTGTTAGTGATGGTTGGTTAAGCAGGTAGAAGAATAGACACGAGATAAAATTCAAACGTGTGCATGGGGAAAAAGCAAGTGCTGATGAACCCGCCTCTAATGATTAGAAAATTGACAGGCTAAAAATAATTATGAACGAATTTTCCCCAGATAACATTTTTAATGCAGATGAAACTGGACTGTATTATCGAGCGACACCTGACGGTTCTTTATGTTTCAAAAAGGAAGTGCTATCTGGTTCAAAAAAAGCAACGGAGAGGATTACAGTTTAATAATGTGTCAATATCACCGGGAGTGATAAACAAAAGCTGCTAGTAGTGGGGAAAAGCTTAAAACCTCGATGCTTTAAAAATCTGATCATAAATAAAATGCCAGTGCATTACCACGCGAATAAAAATGCATGGATGACTTCAACCATATTTTCAAACTGGCTGTATGAATGGGATAAGGAATTGCAAGCAAAATCTAGGTCCATACTTCTTCTTATTGATAACTGTGCTGCACATCCAAAAAAACGTTGAACTCAAAAACATCACTTTAGAATTCTTGCCACCAAATACGACTTCCATAATCAAACCCTTAGACATGGGTATTATCAAAAACCTCAAAGTGAGTTATAGAATGAAACTGGTTAATTTTATTCTAGAAAAGATTGAAGGAAAACTGTTTGATCCAGCTGCAACTGCTAATCAAATAAGTGGCAAAATAAACATATTGCAAGTCACACAGTTTGTATCTGAGAGCTGGCAAGAAATTAGCTGCACAACTGTTATGAATTGTTTCGCTCGTTGTGGATTTTCTAATTTTGTTTGTCCACAACTTGAGTTGACTGAATTGAATGAACAATTTTTACTTATTCAAAACTATAACGAGTTTGAAAACATTGATGAAAATGCTCCTTGTTTTGATAATAATGAAGACATTTGTGTGATGTTGTAGTAAAAAATGTTCTTAAAAAAAGGAAGTTGGAAGATGAAGATACCGAACGGTGGTTAAAGCCAGAGAGGCTAAAAAGTGCATTGATTTGTTGCAGAAGTTCTTCATGCAACAGGGCAACGAAAATAGTCCATCTGATAATAAAAAATATTATGACAAAAAAAACCTCTTTAAAGTACCACTCTAGTCAAAATTTCTTTAAGAAAAATTGCTCTCTTGGATCTAATTTTTTTATTTTTTTAAAATGTTATTCAGTAGCAAAATTCTTTTAGGGGAGTTTACATTTGCCCAGCTTGACAGCTAAATTTGCATATTATTAATAACGTATATAGGCTTCTGAAATATATAATATAACCCATCAAAAAAGCTGGGTCTAACAATTTAACTATAATGTTGATATTATTACATTAATATCTGGCTAAAATAATACTAAAAATACGGTACCACAGTTACCAATAGGGTAAAGAGCGCACGACACACATTATAATAACTCACATTATTTTAGAAATATTATTACGGTATTTATATAATTAATATTTGTATGATTGCCTGAACAATTTCAAAATAATGGATCATTCTTTGAAGTCTATATCTCCGTTTAGATTATTCAAATTTGTGAAACGGTGCAACAAATGCAACGGCAAGCTTAATTTACCGTGGCAAAAGTTAAAAAAATGTCGCAGTAAGTATATTGAAATATTGTTTGTTATTTGTTTGGTCGT